CTTAACCACGGTGTCGCTGGGTTTCGTCGGCGCGGAAGATGAGTGCTTTGGCAAAGGTCTGGACGTGGTCGGAGCAGGATTGGATTGATCCGAGATATTAATTACTGGCACTGTTGAGGAGGCGTCGTCTCCCTGCACATTAATGACTGGAATCACTGGCCCATCGTCTGGGACATTGATCGTAGGTATGGCCGGGGCAGATACCGAGACTTCTGGTATACTGGGCGCTGGCTTCGGCGATGGTCGTGCTGCAGGTGCCTCTGTCAACACCAAGCTCGGTTTGTCGACATCCATACTTGTCCTCGGCGAGTCACTGGGTCGTTTCCATGTCGGATCAAAGCTGACAATCGGTCGACCAAGTTGATCGCTGACAGCTGTTGGCGTAGGAAGATTAGGGCTCCGGTCTTTCCTCTTCATGCTAGTTGCTGCTCGAATTTCTTCACTCCGAATTTCCAAGGTGCCAGTGGAATTGGGTGTGTCAACTTCTTCAATCACTTCGACGGTGGATGTCCGTGGAGGCGTGTTCTCTGTGTAGTCGGCTTTACGTGACTGGGTCGGTGGATTTCTGTGAATCTCGAAACGGTCGAACTTTTTACCCTGAGGAACCTGTGTGGGATCCCCTTCCTTTTCCAGACTTTTCGTTCTCAGCCAGGGAAGTCTGTTGCGTGACTTAGCTCTCAGTGGCATGTCCATGCTAGGAGGCGCAGCAGACGGTCTGAACGTTTCCTCTTCGGGTTCTGGTTCTTCATATATCTTGCTGTTCGGAGTAGGAAAAGAGACTTTCCTGGAACCGCTAGCCTGACGATGCCCGCTATTCTGTCGTCTCTCCCTGGCCTTCAAGTCTGGGTTTCGATAGGGAGCCACCTTTTCTTCCTCTGCGGCTTTGGGGTATTGATGCTTCCAGACCAGCTCGGCGGCCTCGTCTTTGGCCGCATCATAGATCCGTCGTTCTTCATCCTTTTGGTCGATAAGCTCCAACGCTTCCCGTATACTGTGTGCTTCCTCTTTTTCCAGCCTTCGCGTAACAGACTCGATGTACACTCCTTCTTGAGCAACCGAGGGAACCTGCACAGTGGCAGTTGGAGACACTTTCCTCCCACTCAGGAGCGGACGATCACTGTCTGGAGGCTGTGCGAGAGGTCGACCTCTGGAAGTAGAAGAGAAAGAAAACGACTTTTGTACAGTTGGAGGCCCGCTTTCAGAATCATCTTGGGCATCTTCATGCTTGGCGCCTGTAGTTGGAGCTGAGTCGGACCGCGCCAACGAAGACTGGGACGTTAGGGAGCCATAATTCCTGGATGGAAATGGCGCAGGTCTGGATCCGGTCGGTCTGGCAGGACGATTGTTTCTGAGATTGTCGAGATAGGTTGCTGCAGGCCTATGTGAGTACTTTGATTTAAAGGTAGGTTCTCGTGGAGGCATCTTTTTGAGATGAAGAACGACTGCAGAAGAGAGCGAGTAAAGGTTCACAGTGACACCTACATTTCTGTTCCGCAGTCATGCATGTAGGTTGAGGCGGAGACACTTTTCTGCCGCCAATGCTGTTTCTTTTGTGAAACATTTTCGCGAGATTCGTTGAAGTTTGAGCTGAGATATGGTTCACCGCATATGCAACAATTTGGTAGAGGCAGCGATCTTGACGTCCTACTTTACAGCTGAACTGTCAAGCAAGACGGCAGTATCAGGCGGAGTGCAAATCCAAATATAACCAAAATGAGAACTGGATCAGCGCGGGGGACATTAAAGCACACATGGACAGATAGACTACGGAGACAAAAGCAATAGATGATGCGATAGTGTATTGAAGTGGTGAGCGAAGCCTGCGATTGAGACTCTGACCACAGGCGGGTTTTTTGTTTGGGCTGCGCGGTTGAGACGACAACCAACCGCAGATCAGGTTCCACTTGCGCTGGGCATCAACCGTCCTTACCGCCTCCGAAAGCCATGCACGTACCACGCCAACCAACGCCATGACCCCATCAAAACTCCTGTTTACCCGTCACCTCGTTCTCTTGACCTCGATATGATCGTCGTGGTCACTGCGATGCGATGCGAGAACGATCATGGCGTTGAGTTGATGATGACAGATGCCCTTCCGACGGGTACTTACTGTGCCACCTGCGCCCATCTGTTACAAGCAGCGACACCTCCATTATGATCGGAAGAAACGGCATAGTCAGATTCTCCATCTCCTCCTCCTCGCTCTCCGCACGAGGTTTAATACTCGTGACCACCACCACATGGATCCCTGAGATCGTCCTTTCGATGTACGGACTACTCCGTACTGCGTACATCCGTCGCCCTCGTCAGGGCATTATTCTGACCATGCGAGTTCCACCTCAACCCAATCATCGAATCTCTTAGTCATGCCCAGCGTTGCATCTCGCACATACGACCCCAACGGCCTCTGACCGAGATCTCAGAGAATCCCCATACCATCGGCAAATGGGAGCGGACATTGCTCGGCTAATACATTTATTCAATGGGCTTCGTACAGAATTTTGCCCCGAGACCTGTAAAAGTGACGACTCATCGCCCATCCCTCCTCCCGGTTTCCTTTCTCTATGTCTCTACCTTCGTTTTCTGCGTTTCTGGGCAAAGGAGAAAGGGAATATGACAGATACGGTGCCTATCGATGTTGCAGAACCTCGTGGAATTCCGCAACAGATCCAGCCCCGTCATGACAATGAATCCGAAAAAACTGTTGACATTGAGGAGAGTCCTTCCGCTCTCCCAAAGCTAGACGAACCGCTCCCGGATGGCGGCTACGGCTGGGTATGCGTTGCCTGTAATTTTTTCATCAATGGTGAGTACAACTCTTTTTCCTGTTAAACTGACCCGATCTCGACTACAGCGTCTCTATGCATTGGCTACAACCCCATCTTGAGACCGAATCTGGGGTATGCGGCTAAGTACGAGAGATCGGGAGACTAGCACCATCACGCAATCCGGGGTCAGAGTAACACTAACACATGGTATACAGCACACACCTGGGGAATCAACTCCTCGTATGGCGTCTTCCTCTCGTACTATTTGAATCACAACTATTTCCCTAATACGTCCGCTCTGGCCTACGCCTTTATTGGCGGTCTCTCGATATCGCAGGCCATGTTCATTGCCCCTCTGGCCACACACATTATCCACCTCTACGGCTCCAAAGTATGCCTACATTTAGGTGTCTTCTTTGAAACACTCTCCCTTATTGGCGCTAGCTTTGCGAAGCAGAAATACCAGATCATCCTGTCGCAAGGATTCTGCTTCGGTTGGGGCATGGGGTTTTTGTTTGTGGGCTCTGTCGGTATCATACCACAATGGTTCACCACAAAACGCAGCGTCGCAAACTCGATTGCTGCGGCGGGCTCCGGTCTTGGGGGCTTGATGTATTCCCTTGTCACACAGCGGATTATCGATACAATGGGCCTCCCTTGGGCTTTTCGTATTCTAGGAATCTGCTCCTTTGCGGTCAATTTGACAGCATCAAACCTCATCCGTGACCGCAACAAACAAACCGGATCGCGTCACAAGGGATTTGATGCCAAAATCCTTCGCAAGCCCGAGTTTCTGCTCGTCCAAGGCTGGTCCTGGTTCAGCATGTTTGGCTATACAATCCTGCTCTTCTCACTGCCTGCCTACGGCCGAGCCATCGGCCTGAGTGCAAAGCAAGGCTCTGTCCTTGGGGCAATCCTGAACTTGGGTCAAATGCTCGGTCGGCCTTTGATCGGCCTATCTTCTGATCGTTGGGGTCGCATGAACCTTGCGGCGTTCCTCACTTTCTTGTGTGGCGTTTTCTGCTTCGCTTTCTGGATTCCCGCCGAGACAGTGTCGTCTCCAATGGGTCTGTTGTGTTTCTTCGCTATCGTTGGTGGCGCGCTCGCGGGAACCTTCTGGACCACCATCGCCCCCGTTGGGGCCGAGGTGCTGGGCCTTCAAGACCTACCTGCTGGATTGTCGCTCACATGGCTGATCATGGTCCCGCCTACGACGTGTGCAGAGGCGATCGCCCTGGAACTACGGCGAAGGAATACGGAGAATTGGATATACCTCCCGCCCCAAATCTTCACCGCCTTCATGTATGTTGGTGCAGGATTGTGCTTGTGGGTAGTCAGAGGATGGAAAGTTGGCGAATTGAAGTGGAAAGCACGAATGGCGAGGGAGAGCGAACGGAGGCAAGAGAGGATCATGCTGGAAGAGAAGCACCCTGTGACGGAGAAAGACGGTGTAGGGGAGCCAGCGATGCGGGCAGAGAACGTGAATGATGTCGATCGTGATGCTGACCATGTGGAGGTCCAACGATTTATGAGAAGGGAGATCTGGGGTCCACGCAATCTCTTTGCGAATATGATCGCGTGGCAAGTTGTATGAGGAGATATACTCAAATGCATATAGCGCTGTTTGATATTCGTCAAGGCTCCTGAGGGATACAAGACCTTGCAATAGCTGGCCAGAATTCTGGGGCTCAACCACCCCCTACTTTGATCGCCAGAGGCTGTGCATTCGCATGTTTTGGGAACCAGGTTGCAACACCCCCGTCTTCCTGAAGCGGCTTTGCAGCATTTGACCGCAGTCACTGGACAGTTTCTTATGCTTGAGCGGGTTCGAGATCCTCGTAGTAAGGCGCGGCAAGCTGCAAGGACACCTAGTCTGCCTCGACATCAACCCCATCACTGGCCCAGAGAACTGATTTGTACATGAAGGCTCCGACATCCCTGTGGGTTCCGGCAATAATCGCCTGAGAGGTGCTTTTTCCCACTTGAACTCACCATACGGCTTACAAGTGAGCCTGATTCACTACCTTCGCGCAAACCCAATCCACCCGGGAGCCTGGAAAGCATGGAGTGAGGGATGAGGCACTCAACTCTCCTAGCCAGATAACGGAAAATATGGGGAATGGCCACGCCTTGAAAAAATGACCGTGTCATCAGCCGAATACATTACAGACTCCTCGAGTTGCAGCTTAGTTCACGCGTGTCTCCTAAACTCCCGATGGCCCTCTAGGACCCTTATAAACATAATGTTCGACTTTTCCCAAAAACTGAATCCCCGGCCGGACCAAGATACAGACAATTGCACTGGTGGCGACCACGGGTATACTGGCCATCCAGAACCACCTTGGTGCCTCGATGCCATTCACCCCAAAATACAGACTGTGAAAGTAGTTAGAAAGACGGAAAGTCGGAATAAGTATCTCTGTGTACTAAGGGCCAGTGTCCATGATGTTTCCTTACCGCAAGGAATGAGGGAGGGATGAAGAGAAATGCCAGGTACGTAAGCGCCTCGACATTTTGATTGGTTCTTGTGCCGTGGATATTGAACTCCTATAGTCATGGCTTTGACATCAGTGGACCTCTGAAGTCGGTGTCTTGGAGTGGAAAATATAAGTGATTATATCGTGGACTTACTAGTTCAACCAAGTTCTTACATAGATCGACCATGAGGCTTAGGTTGGCGTGATAGTATTCAAGGCCAGTAGATATAGCTCTTAGGTCAGATGCGAGATCATCACGGTTACCTTCATGTGGAGCGTTCTGTGGCTCGAGGGTGGTAGTTGTCTTGATGGTACCAGCAACCTCGAGAAGGTTTTCTTGCCCAATGGTGCCACTGGCCTGGAAAGCGCCAGTACTCTGCAACCTGTCATTTCCTTGAAGAATACCGGTGCCCAGATTACCTTGCGGTCTGTGATGCTTTGGGGGAATGAGATCACCATATGCCTCCAGAGCCTTGACATGGATAGCCATCAACGCCAGCAAGGATCGAATGTGACCGATGAACTGGTGTAGGGACCTGACTTTCTGAATCGTGATCAATGAGCCATATCCTGTCTCAGCTTCCTACACAAGAGCTAGGTCAGTGTCCAGCGTTCTCAAGCCCTGATGGCCTTTCTTACCTTTCGCTTATACGCGCCGTTTACGTCATCAACGATCCTTGGCCATTGATTGAACATCTCATATATATAGATCTATAGATATCTAGTAAGGGTTTCGGTCAAGTCTTGCGAGGCGTCTGCCACCAGCGGCAATGAGGTATTCTTTTATGGTTTGGGCCTCTGCGGCATCAAGGCTCTGGGATCTTGACCCACAGAGATAAATCACAATGCGAGGATGTTTGTTGGCCTCATAAGGAAATAGCAAGACTGTCAATTTTTGCAAACGCGGATAAACTGTATATGGCTGATTAGAAGAAGCGTCCAAGGAGTCTTTCAAAGCACTAAATAGCCGTACGGAATTTGTTTCCGGCAGCCTCGGCGGCTTTGCAAGGGTAGTTGAGAGTGAATTCCACGGCTACCGCGGAGGGTAGAGTCAGCAGCTTTAATGTGTATGCTAGTCGGGAGGAATGAAGTGGACGCGTACGATCAGGCTTCTGCACTGCTTCCACGTAATGGGCAGGTGAACTGATTGCTGTTCACTGATGGTCTCGAAAACCACCGGGTCAATCTCGTTAAGTTTTGTCTCAAGCTTAGAGTCTTTGGATTTCAACCTGCGAGATATAGATCAATCTCTATTTCCTTCGAAATGGTGTCAATTACTCACACTATCAGAACAACCAATTGGTTTTGGGGGAAATTGGTCCCGTCTTTCAGATCAGTGAAGTCTCCACCGCCGACCGATACCCAAGCATTTCGTATGTTTCCAGCTGTTGTTTCAGGCATGTATGGCATGTAGGGTTGACTTTTGAAAACGAGTACAAAACCAGCAACTCATTCGCTCTTTCATGAACAAGGTGGAAGGAGAGAGCTTGCGGCTCGGTCATAACATACACTCTTCGTCGGCTATCCCACGGAGCGAAAGACTGGGACCTATGCCACTAATATTGTGCCGGATCAAACCAGATTCTGATAAAAAAAAGAATGAGGAGCTGTAATGGTGGCTTATGGTTCCTGGCCTCGACTCTCGCAAAAGGACATACGTCGGTGACGTGGCACAATCATTTCGAGACACGTTCATCATGGAACCCTGAACTCACAGTACTAGCGCCTATTTCTCGTTCGTGCATTGCCTTGAGATTATCACCAAGCACATGTCCTTGCACATAATTTGTAGCAATGAGGCCGCCTTGTTGGCCCAAAAGACTCGGCTGCATCTCGCTTACTGGAAGGAAGGATTTCTTGTTGCACAGCAACCAAGCGGCGTATGTAGTTTGGTATACGAGCTGTGACGTGCTCATTGCCTTGGGAATGAGAGTGTGGTCAGAGCTCTTGCAAATCGAATTGATTCTCACCTTGACTTCTCTCCTTCCCCAACCCGGCATGGAGAAGGAAAAGGGACCTGGGTAAATTTTTTCATGAAGTGGTAAGTGGTCTATTACTCCGGGCCAACTAGTGATTGTGTTGACAGATCAGGAATTCACAAGGAGGAGGAAAGTGAGTCCAGCGAAGTACATAAAAGCCTGGGCCGTAGTTAGATCGACTCCTGTGGCCTGTAGCCAAGTCCGGCGACGTCAGTCATGGGATAAGGCTGAGGTTAACCGCACATGCACATGGCTCATGTGCAACACGTTATGAACCGCAATCAACGCAGACATGTATTGAGACAGATTGTCATGAGGATATTTACAGCTGGCTGCCTGTCCTTATCTCTTGTTCTTTTCTTGTGTGTTCTCACTGCGCATATCCTTATTCTTCTGTCCGCATAGTCTCACACCTCCCATCCACCACCGACCATGCCATCGACGCTTCTCAGAGAGGAAGGGAAACCAATAATACGTCATTACATGATGCAGAAAGAATTGGGAAAGATCAAGCCAACAGACGAAGGTCTATTGGGAGGTAGAGAGGAGAGAGGGTGGATGAGAAAGAAGGTAGAAACCCGTTGAGACTTTAGAAAGGGCGTGAAGCTAGTTGTGGGAACTCTCTCAAGCCAGGGACACAGACAAATATGGTGCTAGGCCCTCACGCTTATCAAGACCGACTGGCTCTCGTGGGGTCGAGATGGGAATATACCGTAGAGCCTTCCTTTAGGCCCTCGTTAGAACTTGATAGTTGAGAGAAAGAACGACCTGTCGGCTCGGGCTTATCCTCAGTATCTGGCATAGCGCCGCGATGGTCACGCGATACATTGCAGAAGGCGCCATGGTGCTGTTGACCGATACGTGTGACCCGTAGCGAGGAGAAGAACTCGTCCCCTGATTCCCTCAAGGTGGTTATATTTCCACCGCCTCGTAACCTCCGAGGCATATACCACACTCTATGAATTTATGTTGTAAAACATGAAACTAGTACACATAACGGGGCTATTTTATTTGCCAGAACAAGTTGGTTATCCCGAACTAGTACAGGATGAACCTTACCTAGCGACGTGATTGTGTCCGCAACGCCTGTTTCGCTGCATGTTGGCAAGTTCGTGAAAACAGATATCTTGAAGGAGCCCAGTATTAATCAGGGCCTGAGTGTGGGTGCGACTGCAATTGGCGCCGAAGATACATTGAAGGGTCGTATTGCCGGTTCTTGGGATATGCCAAGAGGGGGAGGATCTGGATGAATACTTAATCGAAATAGTTCGGCGTTGAAATGATATCGAAGTGGCGGGGGCGAGCAGAGAGTGAGAGATAATGGCTGTGCTACTAATTTCAAAATATGATGGTCACGTATTGCTGTGACATTGACGGTCTCTCTGGACATGTTCCTTGTATATCGCCATACCACCTCGAGACAGATCATCATTCTATCGTATAATTGAGGTTTAAAAGAGGGCACGCGTGAAATATCCTTTCTATCGTGTCCACAGGCTGTTAAGGTAGATAGCCTCCGTCGATTGCCAGGCAAGAGCCTGTCACAAAGGACGCAGCATCAGAGAGTAACCGCACGACTCCTTCATCCACCTCCCCCGGGTCAGCTATACGTTTCATAGGATTTGTGGAGGCAACGTATGGTTTCCGCTTGGGATCTTTATCCATGGCCGATTGCAGCATGGGCGTCCGGATAGCACCGCGCGAAACGTGGTTGATTCGAGTCTTGTCACAGGCGTAATCGAGTGCCGCCGTCCGCGTGAGGCCGACGACGCCAAATTTGGCCGCCGAATATTCCACGCTCATGAGGAAGCCGATGACGCCGGCTCCGGAAGACGTGTTCACGATGGAGCCGCTACCGGTCTGGAGCATCGCGGCAACCTCGTACTTCAGACACAAAAAGGTGCCGTTCAGCGTTATCGATATCTGCCGCTCCCAATCGGCGGCCGTCAATTCATGGGCCTTCTTGCTCACTTGAGGAAGGGCAACATTTTTGAAGGCGTAGTCGAGTTGACAGGATTTTTCAAACGCAAACTTCACCATCTTTTCGACGTCCTTCTCGTCAGCGATGGCTTTATTAGACTGTCTACGATATCATGGAAATGGTAAGTGTATCTGTGAAAGTGTCAGTAAGTATTGATACATGGACAATCAGTTCTCGACCGTCATGGAACCTGGGGCCAGCCCACCGGTGGAGATGTTCCCCATCTTGAAATGGCTTCCGGCGAGCTTTGAACGCAGTTGAAATGATAGAAGTTGCATGAACAGAAGCACGAGCCAGAGTCGAAAGCGCCGGGCTTGAGGCATTCGCTGTGACTGTAGCATCGACCACCTTCTCGACGAATATGAGAAAAAAGGTTTCCCATTCACCCAACGAGGGTTCAACTTGCTGATGGGTGAAATGATGGAAGGATCGGCAGACAACACTGCGTCCCAGATCTGCACTCTGATCATGGCCTTTGCACTTCACTCCGAGGTTCAGGAGAAGGGATGTGAAGACGTCGATGCTGTGTGTGGTACCGAGAGATCACCCAAGTGGACGGATTTCCAGAAAATGCCGTACGTGAACGCCATTGTGAAGGAGGGAATGCGCTGGCGACCAACGTGAGTCCAAATTGCTCCCCGTATGTGACCATGAGACCGACCATTTGACTCAATTGTCGTGCAGATCGCCAACCGCCCTTCCTCACGCCCTGAAAGAAGGTAAGTGAAGCAAGCTGTCTGTCACTCACCGGACACGATCTGACCAACTCGAGATAGATGATTGGTATGAAAACATGTTTATTCCCAAAGGCGCCATTATCCAAATCGCCTCTTGGGCCATGCACCATGACGAGAACCTGTTTAAGAACGAAGAGGCCTTAACCTAGATCGCTATATTGGCTATACCCGATTGGCCAACGACTATGCCGGTATTATATTAGTCCTGACTGGGAGCCCAGAGACCACTTCGGCTACGGCGCCGGGAGACGGATGTGCCCGGGAATCGGGAATCCATCTTGCTGAACGGAGCATGTGGCGCATTTGTGCAAAGTTGCTCTGGGCCTTTGAGTTCTCTCAAGACATTAACCAAGCAGCCAATTCCCATCGATACGCACGATTACATGTTCGGAACCGCCATGTTTCCAAGGCCGTTCAAGGTACAAATCAAGCCGCGGAGTGAGGCCCATGTCCGCACCATCATGATGGAGAAGAATGCGAGTGTTGATTTCTTGGAGTTGTACGGCTAGAAACACCTTGGTCAGATAGTTTGAACTCACTCGTCGTTGCGTAACATAATCCTGATGAGACAGGATCCTCAGGATTGGGCTAATGTATGGTCCTGTAGATTTTCCAGGGCACCAACTAATATTCCCTTGGTGCCCTGCTGTTCACCCACTGTTGGGTGACTGTTGCCTGGCAGATTTGCTGACTAAGTCGTCGCTCTAGTTGGTTGGGCCCCCCGCATGAAATCGTGCACATGCAGTTAAGATGGACTTCAGGCTATTCTGCGCTTTTGCGAGCCTTACTCGCATCATGAGAGATTCAGACACTGTTGCAGAGCGTCATCTGCTCACGAAGCTCGGTCAGCAACTGCGTAGGAGAGCCTCCGGAAATGTTGTCCCCGCGCCATGCTTCCGCGAGCAACCCACTTTCACAGACAAGAGAGCTACGGGTCCCAGAGAGGATCGTCAAACGGCCGCCGTAACGGGAATGGCTATGGGTTTCCTTCCAGTCAGACGTCTGGTCCAAGGTGCATTCACTCATACTCCACGTCTTTGATCCTACAACCACCGTACTGACGCGAAAGCGCCCACCTGAAAGCAGTCAATCTCACAGTTCACGGACATCTGAACCAGCCCAATGGCAGCCCGGGCAACATTATTCCCACTCTCAAACGTCCTCCTTCAACACTCAAGATGCGCTGTGGCCATCTCCACCCCAATTCGACGAGCGACAGGAGTTCAAGATCGCCATAATATGTGCTTTGCCAAAAGAGGCGGATGAAGTTCTTGCCGTCTTTGACCGACCGCGAGGTGATGGGAGAGAGTTCACCAGGACACCCCGCGATAGGATCGCATCCACCATCTGCTTCATTGGAAACCGCCCGATTGTGGTGGCGCATCTGCATGGTGATGGAAAAGTGAAAGCAGCAGGCGTAGCGGCGTATCTCCGTGCCAGCTTTCCCAACATTCAACTTGCTTTACTAGTCGGCATCTGTGGCGGTGTTCCTGGTGGGCCCGATGGCTCAGGAGACGTCCGTCTCGGTGATGTTGTGATCAGTCTGTCGCCTTTGCAGTACGATTACGGCAAACAGTACCCAGAAGCATTCGAGCCGAAGCCATCAACAATGAGCGCCCCGCTAGAACTTCGCACGGCTCTTAGCCAGTTGGAAACGGAGTATCATCGAGAAATCTTGCAGAAGAGACTGGATGATCTACTGTGTGACCTCCAAGCCCGACGTCCAAAGGTCAGATATCCTGGCACCGAGTTCGACCGCCTCTTCGAACCAGGGTATCTGCACAAGCACCGAAATACCTATTGCAATGTTTGTAACACTGGTGCAGACTCTGTCGTTTGTTCGGCGGCGTTCAATGTGCCGTGCTCGAGACTTGGCTGCGAAGACTGGCACTTGGTCGACCGCCCCACTCCAGTCCTATCTTCCGACAACAGAAGAGTGCCCTCTGTCCATATAGGCACTATAGCCTCAGGAGACCGAGTCATGAAGTCAGGTATTCATCGTGATGCCATTGCACAAAAGTACGGTGTTGTTGCTTTCGAGATGGAAGGCGCAGGCTTGATCGACCATTTCCCATTTCTCGTGATCAAGGGTGTTGCCGATTACGCTGATAGCCACAAGAACGACGGTTGGCACCATTATGCGTCTGCCACTGCCGCCTGCTGCGCAAGAGCTTTCCTGGAGAGTTTTTGGCCGGAGCAACCCACCGAATATCCGGGCCACCGCTACGACCAATGGTCCCTTCGCAGCTCGCCAACCACTGGAATGGCTTCGCAGGCATCCGCGGTACCGTCATGCGAAGCTCCATCGTCTGAATATGATGCTCGCCAACAAGCGGTTTGGTGTGTTCCACTGGTTCGAAAGCCCGGTTTTGCAGGCAGAATCAGCGAGCTTGCCGCCTTGGAAGCCAAGTACAACAACCGCGATTGCTCATGCATTTCCTTACTTGGGCTGGGCGGTGTCGGCAAAAGCAATCTTGCCCTTGAGTTTGCCTATTCACTTAGAGAGAAGTCGCCGGACGTTTCTATCTTCTGGGTTCAGGCGTCAGACACCACCACCTTTGACAATGGCTATGCGGAAATTGGTCGCCAATTACAGATATCTTCGATGGCAGAATTGCAGACCGAGCTCAAGCATTTGGTCAAGCAACATCTGAGTCTAGAGAGCTTTGGCCGTTGGCTCTTGATCATTGATAACGTAGATGACTTCGGACTATTTTTCGGCGATGATGGCACTGCACGCTCTCAATCACTCAGCTCCTTTGTTCCACGAAGCCCTCACGGCTGCACCCTCATCACCACGCGTGATAGAAAAGTGGCACTCAATTTCAGTCGCAGCCACACTATTGAAATCCCGTGCCTGGATCAGGAGGTCGCTCTCAATCTACTACAGACCATGCTTGACCCTCCGCCTGCAACTCTGGACAGAACCGTCGCCTGTGCTTTGGTGGATCGTCTGAATCATCTCCCTCTTGCGATTGTGCAAGCTACTGCATACATCAACCTCAACAGAATTGGCGTTTCCGACTATGTAAGTTTGTTAGACGACAAGGAGGAAACTGTTTTTGAGCTCCTGGATGAAGATTTCGAGGACGAAGTACGGGCACCGGGAGCAAAAAACTCAATCATTTCAACCTGGAGAATCACCTTTGAGAGTATTGCACATCGAAGCCCCTTGGCCCGACGATACCTGTCCATGATTGCATGCATCGATTCAAAGATTATTCCCGAACGTCTCTTTCTACAAGGCGATTCTCGGAAGGAGGAAATAGATGCAAGAGGTCTGCTAATTCGATATTGCTTCTTGACACGAAGAGATTCGGGCCCCGGAAGCAGCACCACCTACGATATGCACAGCCTCGTCCACCTGGCGTGTCGCAGCTGGCTGCACAATGAGTCAGTCTTACAGACATGCGCACCTCGAACGGCGCTCCGCCGCATGCTTGAGACCTTTCCTAAACCCGACCATAGCAATAGATCCACCTGGTCGCTGTATCTTCCGCACGCCTCTCGACTTCTACAGTCGCCTCACATTGCTCATATGGAGAACCGCTTTGAGCTTGAATCGTTAGTGGGGCAATGTCTGTTTCTCGAGGGCAAATACCGTGACGCGACCACAAAGATCAGACTTGTCGTCGAACACAGGGAACAAACACTCGAACCTTTTCATCACAGCCTTCTACAAGCTTACATGGACTTGTCAGTGGCTCTGGAACGTTGGAGTCAGCTGGATAAATCGTTGGAGTATGGTCGAAAAGCACTCTGGGGATACACTGCAACATTGCCTCCTGATCACCCTCTCGTACTCACAGCTTTTTCCAACATCGCTTCGGTAAAGCGAAGGCAGCACGAGTGGAAAGAAGCCCTCAATCTGGATCGGATGGTTATGAGGGCAAGACAGACCATTCTCGGCGATAATCACCCAGACACCTTGAGCAGTATGGCTAACTTGGCCGCGTCTTACAAAAGCATGGGCTCGCCAGAAAAGGCAGAGGAACTCCTCCATCGTGTCGTCGAGGGACAGAGTCTAGTCATGGAAGAGGACGATCCAGTCCTTCTCTCATCAATGGCACGTCTCGCTTCGACATATCGCTATTCGAATCGTCTTGCGGCGGCGGAAACGCTCGCATTGGATGTATTGAATCGGAGAAAGCGAGTCCTCGGCCTGCATCATCCTGACACTCTTCGGAGCATGGCCAATGTCGGCTCAACGTGGCGGAAGCAAGAGCGATGGGAGGAAGCCGAACAAATTGAAAATGACGTCCTGGCATTGCGAACCAGCATTTTAGGGAAAGACGACCCCCATACCTTGACAGCGAGGACAAATCTTGCAGCTACCTATCGCAATCAGGGCAGATATGATAAGGCAGAAGAGCTAGACTGGGAGACGCTCAAGATCAAAGAACGCATCCATGGGAAATACAACTATTCCACGCTGTCAACCATGTCCAGTCTCGCTTCGACATACAGAAAGTCCAAACGATGGGCGCAGGCGGACGATATTAGCAAAGAAGTGCTCAGCCGCTGTCGGCATTCACTGGGTGATTCACATCCTCAGACGCTTGCATGCATGACTGAAGTTGCTTACATTTACAAGCGAGAAGGTAACGTGAAACAAGCTGCTGATCTCGCCGAACAGGTGTTGGCGGAGCGGGAACGCACACTTGGTCCCCAGAACAAACTGGTGCGGCACATGAGGCATTTCCTATCAAGCTTGAATCGGCAGCACGATCGGCAGAGAGAGAGGCGAGGGCGCTCGACAAGAAGAGACCGACGACCCTGAAGCCGTATTGCTGGAAAGACAGGACACTCCCACGAGTCGATAGCATCCGGGCGTAAGAGCTCTCGACAAGAATGTCAAAGCCCGACCCGTGGTGAAAGGCAATAAGTATCCGTGGGGCACAAATCCTGGCCGTCCAGCTAAGCTCTTGCAAAACTGTCCAGTTCATCAGTATCGAGTATACTGTTTCGGATCTTGTCTCGCTCCCTGAACCGGATTCACAAGGGACGCGTAGAAAGAGCGCAAAGACGACTCCTGGCCTCTACCAGAGCGTTTAATCGAAGCGGTGAGCACATGGCTCAGTAACACGACTTCGACATGTCACCATAACGTCAACTGATGCTGTAGGAGCCATCTGTGCCTGCTACTATCTATCTAGTCCATTCTCCGCAAAATCATTTTTAAATCTATTTCAGGAGGGTGACAACCGTCAGCTCTGGTCCAAATCATACATAGAGCCGATCTCTACTCAGTTGTTTATCCATCCATATGTACCATCTTTCAATAGCCAGTGTCGGACGACGAATAGCTCCAGCACTCTACGGGATGGTTTGCCGTCGCGATGAGGGCTGCTCGTAAAATAACGGTCTTTGCTCATCTGGCGCCAGGAGGGAATGGACACGGGAGACCACTGATGAGGTGCGGGTACGGGCGCCCCAAGTGTTCCACCCTTTGGAATTTGCGAGAGTCGCAGTGTTGTTTCCCCTGCTCGGCCAGTCTCCGGTCCCTCACGGCGAAACAGACGGCCAAGGCGATCAGGACGATCTGCATGGTTCCCACAAGCACGTAGACGATCCAGGCACTTCAGCCCTTCAACCCGACTCGGATCACTCTGTTGATTCCGAAGATCCAGGTGTACTTTGACCAGCGGGAAGTTGTCAGCTTTGCACTGCGGAACACCAAACCTACGAGAGCAGTGAGGCAGATAGCCACGGGGCTGAGACTTCCCAGACGACCCAGATGCCATGTGGTCCGCACCTGGGGAATCCACTGGATGCAAGCAAAGACGGCCACGGCGATGCCGAGGACGTCTGCCCACGCCTGGGCGTACCATGGGAAGCGGTGCAAGATAATTGCCGACACCATGACGACGGCAAATGCGAAGGTGCATGCGGTAATGAGGACCTTCCACGCCCGCTTTGCTCGTCGAAACGTGCGGTCGGGACCATACAGTGAAGGTCTACGGCCGTCTAGTTCTGCGTCGGCCTCTTCCTCCGAGTAGTAGACATACATGAAAAGGCTGGACAAGGAGTTCAGCAAAGTCCCGCAAGAGCATATTAGCGAGAAGGTAGTGATTGCGCTGCCGGGGGCCCGCTCCTATATTTACACGACCCAAAAGCACGCGATGCCAAAGATGACCTAGGGCATGCCGAGAAGGCCACTGACATGGGCAAAGCCGCGTGTTGGTCCTGCAGCAACCGATATGGATGGCGCTAGAGGGGAGCATCATCACATTGCCCACGGCACACACGCCGGATAAGGGGCCGAGGAGGATATAGTACGTCCACAGACCCTCTGCGGACCTGCGTGAGACGATGCGGCCCCATTGCAGAACGTAGCAGATGAGCAGCTAGCCCATTGACGAGCTGGAATCGGCCATGATAGTATTGGGTCATCCGGGTGTTTATGTTGATTTCCTTTCAGAGCGGACAGAGTAACTCAGGGGACGCAGCCACAGCATAGCATACCAAGACACGACAAACCGAGCGAGGGAAGGCTGAGCGAGGTGGTTGCATTGGTCGTGAACCACATCCGAGTCGGTTGGGAATCCATCTCTTACAGAGAATTTGGGATCTGCGCTGGGATTAATTCACCATGGCACGGTCGATGGAAACCACAGTCAATCAAACCCAGTTTTTCAAGACGGACATGGACAGGAAATAGCCAGAGGTGAACAAACAAAGAAGGCACGATATGAATTGTCTGCAAAAAGAGATTGGTAGAAGTATATAGAACAACAGGCCTTGGTCGTTGTGTGTCGCACCCGATCAACATATGACGAAAAGCTCTTTGGAAAGCGGCCCGATTGGACGGTGTCGGCGTGCATGAGTTGATGGATGAGTTGATGAATTGATCACGGTCTCGGTGCACATCGTCGTTGTCGTCATTATCATCACAAGTTTATCGCGATCTGTAGTTTGAAATCAAAGTCGTGCAAGGCTGGGCTCGAAGTTGCAGGAAGGTAAAGCGATCTGCCACTCACGGGATGGAGTGTGTTGTGCGTCCTTGTTCGCAAGTATTGGTGACACTGAGCAAGGCTGGGCCGACGAAGTGGGAAAGGGTGAAGTCTGCAGCCTTACCTTACCTCGTAGATCAACACCTGTTCCGTCGTCACATGCTCTGTAATTGGATGCCTGAATCAATCCTGCTCTTGTTGATTGGGCGCGACTATAGCCCGCCCCGAAGGAGCTGAGATGGGCCGAACAAGCGAGAGAAAGAAAAAGTGCTCCATGTCTTGGTGAACAATCCCTGCGTATTGCCGAGCATATACCTCTCGTCAACTCAACTCTCTTGTCTGGTTATCTCGTACCTCTCTCCTCTCCTGCTTGTATGTTCTCGCAGATATTTCGCTACCAGGCACTGAAACTTGGACTGTGACACAGAGTATAGAGGAGGGCGGTTCGCCGGTGAGACTTGGAGCTTCGCTAGCAGGAGGACGTCCGGGGCCCGAGACTTTCAGCTGGGAAGATGACGAGTGACTTTGTCCATACGAGTAGAGGTGGGAGGGGAATCAGTTCGAGCAGGTAGTGATCGTGCATGGTGCTCACATGGAGGGTATCTGGCAGCAAGTTGTACTGGCTAATGGAAGAAGGCCATGAACGAATCGACCATGAGTTCGATACCCGACTTCTTAGAAAAAGAGAGAGAGGGAGAGGGAGCGAATGCGTAAGGACCTATAGGTAGTAATGGAGGGAGAAAGGTGAACAAAGGTGAACGAGGTAACGAGGTACCGGCCGTAACAATAAATCTTTCCACCGGCGTGTGTCTGTTTACCTCGTAATTACGGCTTCAGCCTTTCCACCCTAATCGGGCTGTTGACTTCTGATTAATGATTATTATTACTAGGTCTTGTCTGTAACAGGTATTTTACCCCCACGCTAACTCAGTGAGTGTCCTCCTATTCATACTCAGTACACTCACTCCTCGCATGCCTAGTACTTTTCTCCTTCAAACTCTCTCTCCTGATCTCCCGGCTATATGTACACACAACGAACTATCAGTTTAGCCTCCGACTCGGCACGCGGGTGGGCGGGCGTCTCAACGGGCCCCGAAAAAGGGAAAAGCAGATCTCGGAAAGTATCCTTTTACTAGATCTGGATGGGCTTCTTTTCCCTCAAGATGCAGATTTCATAAGTCTTAGCATTGCTTATTGGTACTCAGAGGTACTTTGCACCAATGGCTTTATGAGGGGAGCCAGACAAGGAATCCGATGGGCGACTCCACGCACCGACACTTGATGACGGAATATATCGGGTCCTGGCCCCTTCACTGGCTTGACATATACACGAGCAATGAGAATCTCCCATCACGGTTGTATGCGAATGGGAGACGGAAAGACTCGACGACGACCCCTCAGAGGGTACAGCCGTCCATGATGTGAGATTGAGGTCCACACCTCTGTACTACGCACACGAGGACTTTGGGACCCAGGACTTTGACTCAGCTTTTACAAGGACCGAGAGAGGCTGCGGATACCTACGACGCCCTTGACGGTCCTCGACGGGCCTTGACCTGTCAAGGCATCAGCACGATGCAACCAGACTGGTCAAGAGTCCCCGTCACATGGCACCTCCACCTCTCATCACAAGGCCAGCGAAAGCATATTTCAAGACTAGCTTCGGGGGTGGTTCGCTGGTTGCCTGGTTCTGCACACCGAGCACAAGTACGCAATGACATAAAGTTTTTCAAGGACCTTTGCTAGGAAAATCACCACATCATCACCACCACCTTTAGTCATGGTGCATACGTAGTTAGTCCCATGTCGTGATTGGTGATTTGCTGGCTATGTCATGGGGGCAGACGCGGCTGAATCGTACTAATGACCCCGACTATGCCAGTCATGGCATGGTCTGGATCGAGTCAGGCTGGTCGTGAAAACCCTCGTTTCCACAATCAGACCCGCAGAAAACGTTCCTTTTTGTTATGGGGTCGTTTGTGGGTCTGCCGTCAACCAAGGGCGCGCACGGGGCTAAAGGGGTCCCAGTTTTCGTTGACCTATATTGTATGTTGATATATATACATACACGCAGTACGTTTCTGGAAACTTGGATGGAGCTGTCACGGCGAAGAGATCATCGATCAGCCCAAGTGTTACACTGGAGAAGAGAGATAATCAAAATAGCATCGCCCCCCCGTCTCCTCCACCTTCCTCTCTCTCCCTTTTTTTTCCCCCTCTCTTACAGAACGAACGAAATAAAAATACACATGTTGTCGGCCCCCCCTCTCCGGCTGTGGCTACGCCTGACAGTATCTTTCGGAGGAACTAGGATAGCCCGTGAGAAGAGAGCGAGTTTGAATAAGTGCTTATTTACCTACGCTGAATAGCAATGGGAGATTCTATATTCGGAGAGGCAACAAGCAAACACAGCCTTTGTCTCCCGGACGTGTTGCTCTTGCTGAAGGTCCATTGAGAGCATCTTTTGCCATTTCCCTTCCCTCCTCGTGCTGACGGTTGCTGAAGGCGGCGTCGAGCGAGTGGTCCTTGACAAGACCATGAAATCCTATGTGACCTCGCTCGAAGCTTGCTGCTCGCCCGTATAAGTCCGCGTGATATTCCACCCCTTAGACCTCTCCTTTACGATGCCATTGATCGAATTTGTGTGTTTCTGCAACTAGCTTTGTCTCCTAGAATATACAGACCAGCCAGATTACGTATTCTATTGGTCCCTTGTTTTCGACCACCACTACCACACGAACTATACCACCACCAAACCAAACAAACTTGAGCAAATGGATACAGAAAGCCACCACGGCAGTGGTCACCATGACGATGGCCGACACCAAGACGACAGTCAACACCAAGGCGATGCAGGGGACCAGGGATACGACGACAGCGGCAACTACGGGAATGAAGAAGAAGTCGATTATCGTCAGACGATCAAAATCCAGATCGACACTCATATCGACGAGTATGAGCGGGTCATGGGCGACTCTTCACGTAGGGAGAATTTCCCCCAAAGCCCCAAAAACTTTTGAGGTAAAATGAACTGATACTGATGTTTTTTGGGGGGGTATTTTGCAGTCTCGGAGGAGGACCAGCAAAACAGCCTCCGTCGAATACTCCGAGCGCTCAAGCGCCACGCCAAAGAGCTTCGCGATATGGACCCGGACGACCCAGAGGTGAAGAACTCGTACAAGCTGTTCAAGTACGCGCATACGGGCAGGTACGTCCCGCACGAGGGCGAGGATGTCAACTCGCACGTCCCCTACAAGCACGATCTCATGGGCGAGGAGTCGGAAGACAATTCGGACTCGGACTCGGACTCGGATGCCGGGAGTGAGGCCGGCGTAGAAGACGAGTATCAAGAGGAGCAGGGGGAGTGGGATCAAGAAGGAGGAGACCAGAGCCAGGAGCATGGAGGGCACCATGGGGGCTGTGGCGAGCACGACGGCGGTGAGTGGGGAGAAGATCAAGGTGAATGGGGTCACGGTGGCCATGGAGGCGACCAGGGCGAATGGGGTCACGACGGGCACGGAGAGGATCAAGGTGAAGGCGAAGGTGAATGGGGCCATGGCGGCTACGGAGAGCACGGTGGTGAAGGAGGGTACGAAGGGGGAGAGGAGCACGATGTGCCTCATCATGAGCACTACCCAGACCACTAGACCAATCCTGTCAATAAAGTTGGCGGGATGAGAGAGAATAGCTCAAATCTCTATGGCAGAGCGAGGGAAGGGGAGGGGGGGGGAGGGGGGGGGGCGAGGGTGTGGACCCTTCGACAGAGACAGAAAAAGGACTGTATTACGGAATCGATGTTAAGGCGAATCACACCCCTCTTGCGAGAAATTTCCTCCATCTCTTTTGTGCAAAGAATGATGCTATGGTATTACCAAAACGGAACACCCACCCCCACCCTGCATTTTCCTCAGGAGGACATACACAGTCTTCCGGAGTACGCTTGCTTGTATGTACTTATTCATAGACGGTGACCTGCTTACGCGGGTCGACTGGACGAGTATACAAGTACAAGTACAAGTACGATTACGAGTACGAGTGGAACCCTCTTTAGTAGCACACCAGAGCGGGATCTGTTCGGGGCTTTTGACAAGCCGAATGAGGAAGTAGTACTCGACATCGTAGGGCTGTTACATCGCGAGTCACGAGGGAGGCGGGTCCTCGGGGCTGATAGTGGTGGGTCCATCCTCCACTCAACTAACTACGAATGGCTACCTCTAAGCGAGTCAGGCTGTTAGCTACACGCACTACACCTCGTAGAAAAACGATCCGGTGTAGCGCCCAACCACCGCCAGAGATTAGTGAACGCGTACCTAGTCGCAAAACCCCCACCAAGAGAAGGCCCCTTTCTTGGCTAGAAATTGCGGCGTAAAACCACTTTGATAAGGAAGGGGAGTCTCGCCCAAGGTAAGGGCGTTGCGAAGCCTTGCTAGCTGTTCCCCTGATAGCGAAGACACCAAGGTTTGTGTTGGCGGGTTTTCCGAAGCAGGTATCTAAGAGGTATCGTAACAAATCGTGATTTTGACATGTCCTTCTGTGGTATCTAATGTATACCTCGTACTCGATTCCGAAGCTGGACCGAGTAACAGGTTCGTCGGATAGCGGGGATGCTTATGAGAAGACCAAAGGTGGGTGGTGGGGATTGAAAAACGAGCATGTACTCTGTGGCTTGGAAATATCTGAGTCAGGTATTGAGGTACGGAAAGAGCCAAAAAAAAGGAAAAAAACCAATCATGTCCCTCCCTCCCCCCTTTCCACTTGCTGTTTTCGAAACAGATTTCGACGCCAATCTTTTTCGGGTCAAATACCTCGTACATAGCCCCCCGCCATTTCTCACATCGTCCGAAAGGTTTTTCCCATCTGCCTGCCAGAATGACTGGGCCCGGCTTTCGTCAGGCCCTTTGGTATACTGGTGCACTAAAAGCGTCTCGACGGAGTTCCTGATGGGGCCGTTCGCCTGGGTGCTTGAGTTGTAGTCGAACTCGGTCTGGTCGAAACCCCCGGGCCTCTCAGGGCGGTTGGCTGCGGCATGTAACCATAACCGCTTGGGGCCCTTGTCGATTGAGTGGCGCCAAAAAAAGCTGTGAACAAGCGAGACACTTCATCGAGCGAGGTGGCTGAAGCTGTCGGCTGCGGGGCACTCGGGCCTCCTCGTGGTGCTTGACTGTACATAGGCTGGCCGTGCATCGGCTGGCCGTACACAGGTTGCATGGGTTGGCCGTACATAGATTGCATGGGTTGGCTGTACATAGCGTGGCCGTTGTATCCCTGCGTACTTGTTGGAGGTCGACTGCTGGTGGGAGCTGGCATATAGGAGCCGTATGGGTTCGATCGAGACGCCATGTTGTGTGATGTATGCGCAGAAGGTATCGGGGTGTTGGTGTTCAGAGGTCGGGAGTGCGTAGGTTTCAGGTACTGCAATGTCAAACCACTGGAGTTCTGAGGACTTTTCCTTTGGCTCTTTATAGTTTGAAAGCCCGGTTTGGCCTCGACAAGTGTCTAGAAGTTCCAAGAAATGATCCAAAGATATGATATAGCCTGCTTCTAGTTTTCCCCCCCTCTCACGTTCTGTCCGGCCACAGCCGTTAGCCGACTCAAAAGCATCGTGGCGATGAAACAGATTCAGGCATTACGCCCACCACCGTCTTGTCAGCACTAAGACCACTGAAGCTCCCATTGTATTTTAGTCTCGTCAAATGGGTAGATTTCCCTCCATGACCACAGAAGTGGCTCTGATAACGAGAGCATCTGGACACCGATTCCTATATATAAAATGAGATGGGAGGCTTATACCTGGTCGCCCCTCTCATGACATGAGAGAATATAGGCATTCAGGAGTATCTTTAGTATCGTATCACCTAAGAATAGGGAAATGTAGCAATACAAGGTGGATAGCAGGCGTGGCGGATGGGTCCGAGGTGTATGCTATTCCAACAGAACCGGAAGTTCAGTGTTGCCAGTGAGCGCGATCCACGGAGAGGTCATGGTATCATTTCATCCCACTAAGCCCGTCAGTCTGCTGTGTCCGAATCAGAAACCACAACACATATAAGACGTAAGAACAAAACGACATCTCCAAGGTCTTTTCGTAAAATCGCCCACATTGAACGCCCCCACCCAAAACAGAAAAAAAGGCACCGGGACACGAAACCCCTCGATAGTCGACATACAAAAAGAGAAGAACAAAGCACAAAATGGCCGCAAACCAGCAATATTTGGAAACCCCAACCGCGCACAATACCAGGATTCCAGGCGTCGGTAATCTTTGGCCAGCGCTCGGAGTACCAGCAGAGCCTAGGTTCGATACCTTTGACTGCCAGATCACAGTCAATGGCCATGTCTTAGTTAAGGCATCGATTTCGGTCAGTATACCATCACCTGACATCGTCCGAATAGACCACTTGAGCACTGCGGAAGGTTCTCCGCTCCACCAAAACGACTTGGTCGAGCGGTTCTGTCAGCAACGCCATACGACCCTCGCACAAATCCCATACCTGATTATCACGAATGTCATCGAACCCAGAACACAAGCAGCGTACGATCAGGTCTATAACTCGGTGGCACAAGATGTTGGTCAAGCAGTAACGTTCAGGGCCACTGACCCCCAATACGCAACCTTGCTTAATACACCTATCGGCAACACCGTACGCTTTGGAATCCCACAGGGTGCCAACGGCCTGACATTGATGAGTCTTAATGGTAGAAACATGGCCTTTTGGGTAACTGCGGAATATACGCCTCCACCTGCACCTGCACCTCATGGCTTTCCTCCAGCACCGAACCCAGGGCCAGCGCCAGCCCCACGGCGATCCACTAGAACGTGTTGTGTTATCATGTGAGGAGGGGTTTACCAAGGGAAACATTCAAGCAGGTCGTGGCTTTAAGGGGCGGTCCAAGGGCATTCGAAGCATGGAATGTATTCAGGCATGGGCTGAAGTTTTGCGAAAAAGGGATCAAAGGGGGGAGATGGGAAAAGGAGCCAGGACAGGAGATGCCTTTCAGTGCTACAATCGAGGCGCAGACAGTTCAAAGAAGCTTTCGCATTCTGATCGTGGATTTTGCCATTCTTTCCATCACCTTTCTGAACAGCCTTTCTGTGGTGACCCTTTCTCAGATATCCTGTCTCTGTCTTGTCCTGTGTGGTAGAGACATCGAACTGCGGTGTAAACAAAGTCGTGGACAAATGACGTAAGTGCGAAGTACCGTCAGAAGCCTAGTGCGCCATGCGGCTCGGGACGGAAATACATATTTGCGAAAACCTTATCTGAGCCAAGATTACACAAACTACCTCGTATATATCGGCACGACCCCTTGGTGTCTTGGCAATGGTCCTGGCGCAACGGCTTGTCACGTGTAGATATGGCTTACGGGTGATCATTGATATCACTCAGGTACGCTAGGGCTGAGCACAGAACAACACGAAACGGCAACGTCATCACCTTGCCGCTGCCGTCCAATGCCCATGTGCGTCTTACTCATCGAGGTCATCTCGGGAGTTGACATGTACCGACGACAGGATGTGAATTCCGGCTGCGGACAACAACGTCCATGGTCGCTTTTGCTGCTATTCATTCAAACGTGTAACTCCTAGATTGACTTGTTCTCCCTATGCCTTGTCCCCTTCTACGTTCGATACGCCGCGCCTCCTAATCATGAGAGCAAGCAGTCCCCTCTGCCAGTCCTAATGATGCACATGCCCGCCTCGAGGAGGGGCTTTTACGACCACGCCGTGGAACCCCTTTTGGCGACATTCAACCGACGCACTCCCCTGGTGCTGCTTTCCGTCCTTTGCACGTTCGCTTTATTCGCGTGGTATAGATCGGCCCACGGACCTTCGGCCCCCTTGTTGCACAGCGACTACGGCGCATATGGGCGAAAAAGAGGGTTCGATGGGCACTGGGATTACAGGAGGGACGCGGAAAACTTGATGCTGGACTCGCAGCAATGTGAACAGGCCTTCCCCGGCCTGTTCGAGGAAGTTGAGAGGCCGGTGAATCAGAGGATGCACAATCCCATCACGTTTGAAGAGATCGACGCCATGCCAAAGCAAAATGGTTATGTTCGTGCCATGATCTATAATCAACAGGTATACACCACCGATGTATTTTCTTTTTTTTTTTTTTTGGCCGTGTAAAGAGGGGTTGTCACAGGACTACCCCATGCACGACTACTGAATCTTCTGGGCTGACTGCTGCTATCTACTGGTAAAGCTCTATGTTATTGCCACCGCAGGAGGCATCTACTCTCGCGAGATCGCAACCTTACATGCCTTGCACCGTGCCATTCTGACGTCTCCGGAACCTCTACCCAACATTGAATTCGCATTCAATACAGACGACCGCATCCCCTCGGTCCCCTTGTGGGGTTACGCTCGCCGTGCAGAAGACACTCACATCTGGCTCATCCCGGACTTCGGCTACTGGTCCTGGCCCGAGACCAAGGTGGGCTCGATGCGCGAAGTGCAGATGAAAGCAGCCCTGACGGAACAAGTCGAGGGATGGGGTTGGGGCGAGAAGGTCGCCAAGCTGCTTTGGCGCGGCGCGACTATGGGTCTGGAACTGCGTGAACGACTGATCCAGATGACGGCCGACAAAACCTGGGCCGACGTCAAGGCTCTGAACTGGCATGACACCGATTCCGTGACCCAGGACCTCAAGTCCATGGCCGAGCATTGCCAGTACAAGTATCTCGTACACACCGAAGGCAACTCGTACTCCGGACGTCTAAAGTACCTGCAAGCATGCAAGTCGGTCGTGGTCGCGCACAAGATGGACTGGATCCAACACCACCACCCGCTCATGCGCTCCAGCGGGCCGCAGCAGAACTACCTCGAGGTTGAGCGCAGCTTCGAGGATTTGGAGCAAAAGATTTCGTGGCTGCAGAACCACGACAAGGAGGCGGAGCGCATCGCGGCGAACAGTGTCAGGACGTTCCGCGAGCAGTATCTCACGCCGGCGGCAGAAGTCTGCTACTGGCGCAAGGTCATTCACGGCTGGGCTCGCGTGAGCTTTGAGCCTGAGTTCTTCAAAGTTGTCAACGGTTCATCGGTCTGGAGGGGCTTGCCCGTCGAGTCGTACCTATTGGAACGTAGGCTGGAATGGGATCCGTACTAGGTTGGGCGTTGGGTGTCCAGCGATACCTTTTTCTTTTTCCTTTTTCAAGCAACAACTGCATGTTACGGATAGGAGCGACCAAGGATTTTGCCTAGGGTGACGATGTTCTTTGAGACATCTTGTATGCGTCTACGGGACACTTGACTTGTGTGTATATATATGTGTGTGTGTGTGTGCTTGTATGTGTAGATATGGCGCCACGGAAACGTACAATATGTGTGTCTCTATTCATGCCCCCTTTTTCGACTGGCAACAAATACAACCAGCTACCGACTAAAAGTATGGCGAAACGAGGGTCTGTCTTGTAGTGTAGTATGTATATGCCCATCGATTGTCCCTCATCGAACGGCCCTGCCTTGCACATGGAAACGAGATCTGATCGACTGGATTCTTGAGTGCCATTTGACCTAGTATGCATTACCAAAAGGGGTAGTATCCTTTGTTTTTCTTGTTCTTCTCGTCTTCCTCTTCTTCCTCCTAAGACATCTCTTGCGTGGTCGGTCGATCGAGGTATTCTCTAGACATTTACTGTGGTTCAGATACACACACTGTTACACATTCCACGTTCCACCAACCCTATCCGTCCTTTTCTGCCGTAGATTTCTCACAAAGAACAAAGATCATGACACAGACGAGGGAGAACAACACCGGAAAAATAGATCGCCTTCGTGTCTCAACATTCATTTCGTCCACCATGTTTCTAGTAGCACACGGAGGACTCCCAAAACTTTTTATGCAGCATTCGCCGAAAATGGTCTCATCGTCTGTGGCAATTCTCCGGCCGTAACATGTGTAGAGTCAAAGTCTGTCTTGGAGCGTAGATGCGTCGCAGAACCGAATCCGACTTTCAGAATCGCCCCATGTTCTTGGATATGTGATACATCTGTTGTCACTGAACCAGCTTCCCTATTTCCGCCTTGAAAATCTCCCGAACCGGCTCTGGCACGTTTTTCTCGTCCCCGTCGAATGCTTTTCTCAATCTTGATCCCAACTCTGTCACCTCGTTTTCTTTAGCTCCTAGGCGCTGCAACTCTAGCAGACACTTCAACGCAAGCAGATACTTCTTTCTTCGGAGGAACACCTCGAAACCAACCTCCTGCGCCTCTGTGACGTCCGGGCAGAACTCCAATAGCGGGCCCAGAAACTTCATCGCGTCCTTCAGGGGCTCTTTCGTCTCAATGAGAGTCTTGCCGAAAGGGTCGGGGTCTTCCTTTTTAGTTTCACCATCGTCAATCTTGGGCGTGGGCTTGCTCGCCTTCAACGCCGCTTTCTTTTCTGCCTCCGCCCTTTCCATTTTCTCCTGTTCCCTTTTAGCCTTCTTGAGCACCTTCTTGCGGTCTGCCGCGCTCATCTCTCCTGCCTTGCTGGTGCCGTTGACAGTATCCATGATCGGTCCATGGACCAGATCGGGGTTGTCAAATAGCAGCAAATACGCTTTCACCGCGGAGACGGCCATGTTGGAAAAGAAAGGGTGCTCCCTCAGGCGATCCTCCCATCGCAACATGTCAATGTAGGCTCTGATCATGCCTTTACGAAGAGAGAAGTTATGAAAGTCAAACTGGTCTTCTTGCCAGAGGTCAAAGATGCCGAGGATCTGGTGAAATCGTTTCAGCGCAAGACCGAGTTTTCGTTGGCGCAAGTAGGATTTCCCGTCCTCTGTCAGATACCAGACGCATTGCATATCAACGAGGTCACCCAGCGGGCCTCCGGTGCGGTTCTGGGTGAATTTACTTGCCGTCTCGAGGGCTTTGTCGTTTTGATCGGATCGAAGCTGATACTTTGCGCACTTGGTGTTGATTGCGCGGTCTTTCTCGTCCAGGGAGCGCGCCTGGTCCATGATTTCGGCAGCCTTGGTTAGCTCCCCTTTATGCTTGTACGTACGAGCCTTGACAGAGTGAAAGTCAACAGATTTCGGGTCCAGGGCAATACATTTCTCGGCGTAATCGAGAGCTTTGTCCAGGTTGCGACTTAATTTATAGTTATAATGTTGAGCAAGGAAGTAGAGAGCCGAGGAATGGAAGCGTGTTTCTTCCTTGTCGCCATTCTCCTTGGTTCCATTGGTATGCGATTGTCCTTGCCCAGAGGCGTATTCCTCTACCAACGCCTGAACAATGTCCCGCTTGGACTCGTCGGTATAAAGGTGCTTGATGTTGGCAAAGGTCGAAGGAACCCCTTTTCGCAGCATTCTTTGCAGGTATTGGTCTGCCGCTTGTTTGAATTCTTCTCCGGACAGGATATCCAAAGCTCTCCGTCTGGGAAGATCGGCCTTGGGATGTCGTTCTGCGAGCTCCTGGTACGCCTTCTTGACCTCCGACACCGGACCATCGGTCAGACCCTTAGCAGCGATATACCCGTCATAGTATGCAGAGTCATCCGGGTTGCGCTCGAGCAAGGCGGCATACGCTGCCTCGGCTTCCGATTTTCGACCCAATCTCGCGAGGTAGTCTGCTTTCATTTCCATCACTGCAAGGACATCGGGGCTTTTCTTCCCTACGGCCTCCAAGTGATCGAGCGCCTTTTCGACTTCGCCCGAGTCTGCAATGATGTAATTCTTGTAGAGTACGGCTTCCCAGTGTTCGATATCCGACCTGTTCGGCTTTGCCTTGAGTGTCTCCTCGTACGTGGTGAGGACATTCTCTGCGTCCTCATAGTTTCCCGCGAGGTGGTGAGCTATGGCCAGAGCTGTCCAATTTTGGCGGAATCCCGGTTTCTGCTGCAGCATGTTTTTCCGGCTCTGGATGTAACCCTCGTAATCTCGCATTTGAACCTGAAGGTGTGCCAAATCCCTCTGTATAGGCGCCGAGTCTGGTTCTAACCGCAGCGCGAACTTGTATGCCTTGATAGCCTCTTCATAATTCTTCACACCGCGGTATAATAAGCCATACACGTGCCAGCAGACATGCGACTTCATGTTGTTGTTCAGGGCTGTCTTGGCGAGGGCAAATGCTTCTTCGCTGTGGCCTTGATGGCTCATGATCAGAGCCTTCATGGCTTGGGTGTCTGCATGGTTGGGCGTTTTCCGTAGGATTTGTTCGGCGGCCTTGAGACCTAGGAGAGAGTGAGCTTTGGGATTTTTTTCCCGAGTTTTCAAGACCGCGGAGTCAGTGGCTCTCACCTTTTTTGTACTGCTTGTTTTCAAAGTTACGGACGACTTGCCTGAACAAGGCCGCATCCTTGTGACTCAGTTGCTGCTGGGGTTGCGCCATGGTGAATGTTAGAGTCGAGCGACTTTGCTATGGCTGCGATGGTGGTGCAATGTTCAGAAAAAGTGTGCAGAGGCTCAACGCTGTACAATGATGTAGAGGACGGGCGTTTTCAAAGAGTGTACAAGGCTAAAACCATGTTCAAAGAGAAGGAAACCAAGCGATTGTCCACCACTGTGCAACTGCGACAAGGCACCACACGACTCGATGAAAGGCGGACACTGTGGAGCGGGATGTCGCCTGCTCGAGCCTGGAGTTTCGACTGCGGCGCCGGATTGACAGCCTCGTCAGGCTTGGCGCTGTCACCTCCAAGCAAATCTTCAGCCTCGTCAGAAATTCCCTCCTGGCAAGGCTGGAGCCAATGTGCTGAGCCTGCCATGTTGGAATCCCACATAAGATGGCCAGGACAGGAAGAGAGCTTAGCGATACACAAGGTGAACTACGTGGTATTACTCTTCTTCTCTCCTCGTCGGAACTCCCTCGTCACCCATCTCAAAAAGGGTCAGCCTTGTCATCCACATGCCACGTTTCCAGTATAAGCCGATCAATCACCCAGAAGAATGGCCAAAAGGGACGTGTTGATTGAAATGGTTCTTCTATGCCTCTCTCTATCTCTCTTTTGATCGGAGCAGATATCTTTGGATACAAGTCAGCCAGGATAGGCTGCCAATTGAACCCAGTCTCAAAGTATCGGGTTGACATCGCTGCTACATCCAATGCCCTCATGCCCCGTTGCTTCGCTCGCTGAAGAACTAACCACATTCTCTGAGTAGTTATAGTACTACTCGGGTGGAAAATTACGAGTTGTAAAGCTGAACCACCAGCTCTCGCATTTTGACACAACAATCTGGGCTTGTGTCTCCAGGTCGCCTTCACCCCCCCCCAAAACCACATTGCCATTGTGCTTGACCAATGACATCATTCCTGGTAAAAGGAGACAATCAACCTGAAGAGTCCGACTAGTTTTCCTTGCTTGTGGAGGGGGGAGCAAGCTGATGTGCCCGGCGGACAGGTCCCATGATAGGACAGCTGTGTCAGAAATATCCGGTTAGTAATCGTTGACCACTACGTGTTAGACGACACACTTATTCGTACTTTTAGCCAAGGCATCATCTCACAATCCTCCTGCTTGGGTCTGATCCTTCACGATATACATGTCCATGGATACCCGAATACCCACACCAGAGCGAATGAACCACATCAAGTGAGAAGTCCTTGCGTATCCCATGAGGTTCGGAAAGAAACGCATATAAAATCTTGTTCCAAGCCTTTCCCATCAGCAATCGCGTTGCTTTAGCCAAACTTGAAGCTTGTTGGATGTACGTGCCACATGTCGAAATTGCAGAGATATAGCCACCTGAGCTTCAGCTCGAACAGTCACGAGGGACGATCCGGGGATAGAAGTATTCAATATGGTTCAGTAAACATGGCTACTAAATCAGGGGAAGAGAGCAGCGGATATCAGCGACTGTCCTGGACGATGTAGCCTTATGGGAGACCGAGATCGAGATCTATTCGGAGCCGAATATGAAGAAGGCGTCGGGGAAATCACTCTAGATCGTCTTATATTCAGTCAGGGCATCATTCTTTAGTCATACGGCTCAATCAAGGTTGAATAGTCCAGGTGGTTCCCCGGACCTCGTGAGGAATAGGAATTGAATTCACGTTCGAGAAGACAAGGATATCAGGGCTCGATCTTCCCCCACTTCCTCGGTAGGGTCCGAGCACAAACAAGTACATTTACCCTCTTCGGAAGTAGCGGGACGAGTGGGCTGCGATAGACCGGATCAGCTCAACCCCAGGCGTCTCGGTTGGAGCTATGCACACGGGGGCTGGATGCGCCGAGGAACAGAAGATTTCTTCGGCGTCAGATATTTGTAGAGACTCTCTTAAACACAGTCGTTCTCAATTCTGACCTATCGTCCACTGGAATTACGAATCCTTAAATCTATCTCTCAAGAATTTTCAGACGAAGGTTGTTGTTAGGCCAGTGTCTCGAGAGACTGCATCTCCTCGTATGCGACGGCGCATGCGCATCGGTTGCGGAGGCGGAAAATGGCCGAGGGGCATCACTTCCTGCGCATTTCCGGGTGCTGCGAACCACGATGAATGAACCATCACCGACCTCAACTTCCTCGACGGCATCTCGATCGATTCGCAGCCGTCGATATGAAACCTTGGCTACATGGCGGGTTTCGAATGCGCCCCCGAAAAGATACAGGGTGCGTTTGGAAGACATTCATCTCGAGGCATTACCATTGCCTTGTTGTTGTACTGTCCTCTGTGCGAGAAATGGAACAAGACCATACCTGACTCCTCCCCAAGGACAAACATGCAGCCGACCTGGAAGACCCAAAGTCGCCGCTGCGACAAGGCAAACCCGAATATGAGGGTCACAAGCAGCCTCTATCTCGAATCAAGAGAACATCATCGACAGACCTGACCTCCGACATCCTGTGGATAGACGATTCACCACCCAATTCGCCCTTGAGCGAGATCAGGTCCATCCTAGATCCCTTCTGTGCATTGCCGTCAGATCTCCCTCGGGAGGATCAACAGTTACTTCAATTCTGTCAGTAACCCGTGCGGGTTCTTTATCTGTCACCTGCAGTGTCTCTTTTGCTAACGACAAGGTCGAAGACATCTCTTATCTCCCACATGTCTTGTACGGCACGAAACCTGACCCCCTTTTTAGCTCTGTTCGGGATGTTAGCCTGGTGAACACTTTGAAATCGCCCTTCGTTCTGCAATGGATGGTAGTCAATGCCCAAGGTCTATTGTTATCACTCACAGGAGGTCAAGAGACGCCGTCTTTTTTCCGCCGAAAAGCCCTCGCATACCTTACTATGAAAGATCGGCTTGAAGGCGTTTCTGGGGACCAGCTCTCGGATGACTTTATCTTCGGCATCATCATGGCGACCGTTGCCGAGTCGAGGATATCGCCACCGGGTGTCTCGAACATACACCTAAAGGCTTATGAGGCCGTTGTCGCAGCCAGGGGAGGTCTGAGGGCCATTCTTCTTGCTTCAGCTGATCCCATCCCCCACACAAGCCATTTGATGCCGCTTGTCGTTAGCGATCCTCTACCCGACGAAGTTGTTCTTTGGGAACACCACTCTGACCAAGCTATTGACGTCCTCCAATTTCTGGCCAAAGGTGAAAATAAGGTCGACCCCTCAAAGTTGATCTTCAGCACCACAGGCAAGCAAGTTCCCCACAAGTCTGAGCGAGCTTCATCGTTAAAGTTGACCATGGATGACGACTTATATCCACCCCTGGCTTCCAAGGCAATTGAACCGTTCCTGCAACCAGATATCTGGGAATACCCGAGGTATACCAAGATCTCCTCGCATTTCCTGGCCTTGTTTATCATGGTATCAACGTTGTGGAAGTTGCGGAGGACTTCCTTGCTGCAGCGATTCTTCCTTGACCGGGCGGACACCCTTTTCGTGAAGAGCAGTGCGCTGGACTCTGATGGGAAATATATGATCACCCTCGAGGGGTTCTCGTGGCTTGTGATCAAAGCGGGATTTGAGGTCTACGAAGCCTTTGGCGACAAAAAGGTCATCCACTGCAATAAAGTGGATATGCTGATGGACGCTGCCTCCGGATTGAAACTTCTGATGGTCTGCGATGAGCCCGTCAGGAGGGATTTGATTGCGTTCCTCTGTCGATGTCTCCTCGATATTCGCGAGATGCCTAGTATTGACAGTGATTAGCCAGCATATAGAAAGAGAGAAACACGGAAGGCAAACAAGCAGCGAACCTTCACAGCGAGAGAATCAGGCATTTGAGTGAACTATGTGATTTTGTCTTTCGCAGATACGACAATCCTATGTGTGTCATGTCCAAAAGAGTTTCACCAACCGGCCTGCTAGAACACTCCGTACCCCAAGGAGGGTCACATTGGTGGTTATCTCAACTGACTAGATATGGACCAAGACACTTCCGATGCACCACAGGATCCTCGAGAGTCAACATGGGTTACTCAATCCCGGGTGTCGTTTGAATCTTATGATCGACGAGACATCCTCACAGGGCTTCCTATCGATGAGCTTTTCGACCGTTATTGAAAGATGGTCACATAATGTTTTGCCGGTTTCCGTGATCCCTTTCTGACTAAGTCTTGGGGCCTATTGGTGACAAAGAGGAGATGATGGTACTCGTGGATTCTCATGACGATCATGTACCCGGTACTTTCCTACCAGTGTCTGTAACTATCCTGCTATGTTGACCGGGGGGCCGGTGTACCGAGAACTTGTGGTTGCTTCGATAAAGTAAATGCCAAGGCTTTGCGGAGTGCCTCAGGAGCAGAAGGTAAGCCGATGGCTTGTAAAGCGGCAGGGGCTAAGTGAAACGCGCACACACGCTGTACCTATAGTTGGACGGATCGATTCTATTCTATAGGCGCGACTGCACCTAGTTTGTCCCTAACCAAGCACCAGGCTGCACCTACTTATAGGTAAGGATTACCATTGCTTGGCGCAAAGCGGCCTGCTGACAGCTCCTCTTCCCCCCCGACGCTGCTTGACGCCGCCCATTGTGCTTTTGGGCACCAAAAGAGAAAAGTAAGAGACACCAAGGCTGATCGCCTTCTCCATCTCCATCTCAGTCCCAATTCTACCTAAACCCCCCCGTCACCCTCATTGTTGCTTTCCCCTTTCCTACCTGCGGCTCCTCACTCACCATGTGATCTTCTCATATGAAGTGACACGTCTAGAATTCCTCCCCATCATGTCCCGCGAGTGGAAGTCAACACCTGTCCAATAACGACACGATGCAATCATCCGGCGTCGCAGGAGCCCAGCGGCCTTCGCAGTCTCAGCGTCGACAACAAGACTTCCCCGACGCAATGTATTCTCAAGCCCAACCGGCGGCCATGAATCCTACAACGAGCTCCGCCTCTCAGGCGAGGTCGTCTTCTGGTTCTGGCCGCTCGCAACGGAGCGCTAATGTGAGTGTTTCTTGTTACCTTTGGATCTCTACTCTGACGAAACCATTATACAGCCCGACAAGCAAATATCGCAAATAGAGAAGAGCGTCACTCATCTGCTGGTTGCTACGAAACAATTGCTCGAGACATTGACACAGTGGTCGCGCGGGCAGGCGCAGGAAGAGGAGGTCTCGGATGTATATGTACGACTGGGATACGAATTTAATCTGGCATGCCGCGCCTTCAACTCAATAGGTGTCGAAACCTCCGACCTCGGTCCTGTGCCTGATCTTTTGAGGAATATCCTTGAGGATACTCTGAGCCAGCCCGCATCCCCTCAAGCGCTCGATACCTACCTACCACGCATCCGCGACATCATTATCAATCTTCTACATGGCCTCAAGAGGAAGCAGAGCCGACTACGTGGTCGAACAGCAAAGGAAGCCTCCGCAACAACACAATCGAGACCCCCTACTACTCCAGCGAGACAGCCTAGCATATCGACAACAGGAAGCAATGAAACTGGTCTGACAAACATGCTTGACGATGTGGCGATTGGACCTGCTCCAAGTCTACGTGCCCAATCACCTCCTCAAAGCAGTACGCCAACCGATCAGCCCTGGGTTGATACAAACACTCCGGCTGCGCAACAACCAGGTCGATCGTCCATAAATAGACACTCAATGCGAAGGGATGTTGCCCCCCAAATACCTCAATCTGATTCTGGCTCGACATTGTCTTCAGGGACCCCGCAAAACCCTCCCAGTCAAACGCTTTACCAGGACGTCGACCGATCTCCTTCCGTTCCGCAAGTCCATTTTCCACACCCTCCCCCGCCGCCACCGAAACAAGCAGATGCCCTCACGAGATTACAGCGTGGCGGAGATTTGGAGAGGCGGGCTTCGAGAAGATTTTCGGCATACCAAATTCAAAAGCATCTGGGCGCTTCTCCTAATGGCGTGCCTGTCATCCCAGCTGCTCAAAATTCCCCCATACCGAACAGGGGGAAGGAGGTGCGCGAATCTTTAACTGCCGTTCGGTCACGAAGTTCCTACCAACAATCAAGATCAAAGTCCCTTCGTCAAGGAGATGTGTCGCCCAGTAGGAGCGGGACTATCAAGGCTCCCCAACGCATATCAGAAGAGAGAGAGGAGACTCCGATCCTAACTCTGCAGGAAGTGCCACCAATGCAACCGCCCCAAGACCCTGTCAATTTTGATAGCCCAACTGTTAAAACCCCGGATGAATATCTGCCAATCCCGAAATCTGTTTCTGGCAGCGGAGATAATCTGCTGGTGGGAGCAACCGTTAATGGGCCCCTCGATCCACCACCCGAGGAGTTGCAAGCAACGCTGTCACTCGACTCACAAGGCGTCCCGCCTCTTCCCGAACACAAAGGGTTGGTAGACATAGAAACAGTGAAGACGCCTGAGACCGTTCAACGAAGACCACCCGAGAATCATACGCCACCAAGATCGCATATTACCGCCTCGGATTCGTCACCTCCACAGGGCAAGGAGTTGACTCTTTTCTTGCAATATCGAAGCAAAATCAAGAAATTTGTACTTGCAGACGGCTACGACGAACTGACCATTGCTAGGTTGCAGCTTGCTTTTATTGAAAAATTTGCGTGGAACACTCAGCACAACGGAGTAGACCTCCCCGAGATTTATGTCCAAGACCCTGTCTCTGGCGTCCGGCATGAATTAGAAGACCTTTCGGATGTCAAGGACCGAAGCGTGCTGGTTCTGAATGTGGAAGCTCTAGATGAAGTCAAAAAACACATTGATGAAGGGATGGGTGGACTTCAAAGAAGTCTGGATGGGGTCCGGTCTTTGCTCGAAGGCCAGAGTACAATGATGCAGCGATTTGCAGATCGACAGCTCGAAACCTCCAAGGAGATGGCAAGAATGTCTGCTCTGCCTGCGCAGCATCCAGGGCGAACCCCGACACTGGCCCCTGGTAATTTCACAGCTCCTCCATCTTCGGAGTCCACTCTTCAAGAAATCCAAAACCTTCGCCGAGAGATTGCAGTGTTGCGCCAGACGTACTCCACAATGTCTTCAGACTTTACTGCAGCCATGAGCGACATTAAGGCCAAGGCCGCCAACGTCATGGCTGTCGCTGCAGAGGCTGCCAATGCCACATACAAAGGAGATGCCGGTCGAGCTCATATCAATGAAGGCAAGAAACAACTGTCTGACGACTCTGAGGCGCTCGTCAACCGTGTCGATGATCTTTCAGATATTGTTGAAGAGTTACGCAAGGATGTCGTGACTCGAGGAGTCAGACCACTTCCTCGGCAACTGGAGGATATCAGTAAAGAAATCAGTGCAGCGGCCAAACAACTCGGCAAAGTCAAAGAGTTTGTCAAGCGCGAGAAGCCTATCTGGACCAAGATATGGGAGCAAGAACTCCAGGTCGTCATGACGGAAAGAGACGATTTGACACAGCAAGATGAGTTGATGAACGATCTCGATGGTGACCTAGAGGATATCACAAGTGTCTTCAAGCTCGTGGAGGAGGCAACAAAGCAGCAAAACCTGCAAAACGCGAATAGTGGTCGTCAACCTTCGAGAAACCTTGCCTTCGACACGGATGTTGACCCCCATGAAGCCAAAAGTGGTATGCTAGATGAAGTCCGGGCTCTGCAGCCGAATCACGAAAGCCGCCTCGAGGCAATAGAGCGAGCAGAGAAAGTTCGTCAGCGAGAGTTGGAGAGCCGCAAGGTTGGCGAATTTCAGCGTGAGGTCGAAAAGTTTGTTGAAGAAGGCAAGTTGAAGAAGACTGGCGGCATGGACGAGGTGGAACGGAGGAGGAAGTTAAAAGATGAGCAGGCGAGGAGGGAGAACTATGAGCGGCAACAAGCGAGAGCAGCTGAATTGGAGAAGAAACGTGCTGCCGAGGCGGCGGCGAAGACGGCGGCAGCAGCAGCAGCAACGGCAGAAGAACCCTCTATTGAGACAGATGGCGCTATACAGCAAAACTCGGATCACGACAACTCACAGGACGTGGAAGCGGCTTCGCAGGACGTAAAAGAGGAGGTACATGCGCCCGAACGAGAGACCTTGCCAGAGTCGGCCCCTGCCCCAGTGATAGATGAGGCTGTCGAGTCGGTTCCAGCGGAGACACCGCAATTGTCAGAGACCGGAGTTGGCAAAGAAGGTGAAGGCGACAAGGGACTCGGTATGTCATTTTTCCGTGATTCCATGAGTGAGGCTGGTTGACGACATCTTAACATTGTAATACGACTACAATTTCGGGTCCAGCCCTGAGTCATGTCTCCATTTTTCAGCGTGTGCAATTTGTTTACTGATTTCTGCGATTCTGCTATTTGATAGATCCCACGTTTTCCCTTGCGAGCACTGAGGCCACGGAGGATGGAGCTATGAAGGATGCGAGCAACGAGCACGAGCATGAGAAAGCCAAACCGGAGGACAACAAGGCGGGTGGGAGTTGGTGGCAGCCAGCTGTCTTTTCCAGCTGAGAGCTTCGAACCATTGATTGCAAAGACTCGGGTTTGTTTTTGTGTTTTTGGTCGATGTTCGTTTGCAAACAATTTGGCAGGCGTGGAGTTGTGGACATTCTTCGTTATGTGTGTTGATACAGTTTGACATATGTTATTAATTTCGGCCCCAATCCGTTCAACGCCAGATTTCGAGGTCTTTCAACCTGTTCCACCGTTCGAGGATACTTTCGGGGCCAAGTAGATATCTGTTGGTTGTTTGTCGTAGAGTTCATTGTCCCATCTCGCGGGTGATCTCGAAGCCTCTGCCTCTGCCTCTGTCTCTTTGCTCCCGCTGACGACGACATGTCGATTTGGTGGCCTGCGCGTGGTGTGGTACGGGTGAGAATTAATCTGCGTCTCGAGAGAGGCTATTACAGCAAACAAGATCTTCGGAGAACAGACAAATATGTCACTTTCCCCTTTTGACGGCACCTTTTTTCTTCGCAGGAGAACCCCCCCCCCCTCCCCTCCTCTGTTACCGGGAGAGTTTCTCCTCGGCCAGTTGTACAGCCTCCTTGGCCCTGACCTTGACTCCCTTGCTGAGTGCCTCTTTAGTGAGCTTTTCGACAGGAGTCATGAACGCTTTGGCGGTGTCGAGGAGGACCGCTTTCTTGGCTGCAGCGCCGTCACCGGCACTGTCACTCTGCTCGGCCTCGTCGATGGCATTTTCGGCGGCGCGGAGTTGACCGGCGAGCTCGTCGACCCAGACGTCCAGGACATGCAGCCTTAGCCCGTCCGGCACCTTGCGCTCGCGAGGGCTGAGGGGCCAGGATTCGAGGATCTCGAGTTGACTCGCGACGAGACTCTGCAGGGTGCGCGACTCGGACGTGGCGTCCGCGGCCCAGCCGAGCGCGAGGCTGAACAGCTCCCTCACGACGAGACGCACGAGCAGGAGGACCTTGTTCATGCGCCACTGGTCGATCGAGACCCACTCCCTGCTCACGGTTTCCCAGAAGGCGGTCACCCACACGTCGAGCCACGGGTGATCTCCCGGCTTATCTGACCCGGATGCAGCCTGTGAGTCGTGGTCTTTTCCGTCCACGATCCTCAGCGTCCCGGCCAGTTCGGCGATGAGTTTCTGGACCGACAGGGCGTTTTTGCTGTCGTGCATGTAGAGCGCCACGTAGAAGCCGCGCCAGAGTTGGAGGCACTCGGTCAGCGACAATGGCGACGAGGGACTCTGGTCCTCGAGAAAGGCCATGATAGTGGTGAGACATGCGCGACGCCGAGACGCCTCTTCCGGTTTCAGAGTCAGCGCCAGGAATAGATTCTTGGTATTGTGTGAAGAAAGACAATCATAGTGGACCCGTACTCATTTACATCTCCCAGATAAAACACATGGAAATATCCTCCAGAATCAAAACGAAGGGGGGGGGGACGTACCACTACTCGCAAGATCTTTGACCGACGGAATGGTCGCCGTTTCAGCGTGCTGAGCCATGCCTGCGTACTTGACTTCGGGGCAATCCTGTCTGGTATGGCGATTGGTAGAAGTATCTCGTAGTTTCAAGGACAAGCCGCACGCCCTGAATACTTCGGAATTCTCGTTCTCTGGTTCAATGTGTTGTCATGGGGAGACGGAAATGCCACCAGGTGAAAAAGTTGGTCTTGAACGAGCGAATCGGAAGGCATGTGAAAGGCTTGGCGCCGGTGGGCAAGGCTGTAGCGACAAGGCTGCGTGGACAGGGCTGGACAAGGCTGGACAAGGCTAAAAGGTGGTAGATTCCCTTTATTCGTCAATGCACTTTTGTACTATGAAACCACATTTTCTTCCCAGAGGCTACATCCAGTATTCAGAAATCTATGTGCCATTCCAAAATAGTGTTCGTGTGCACAAGAAGACGGAATGAGCTACCAACGCCAGTCCAAATCTGTTACTCTTGCAACGTCAATCCACGCTATACGGTGTCCTTGCACACTCAGAGTCGTTAAAGTCATCCACCTCTTCTTGAGGCTCGTCGTCTGCATTGTACTTGGCAGACATGAAACTTCCTGACAGTGTACGGTTATACTCAGAAGATGGGCGACTTCCAGGGTGGAGCAGGTAGTCCATGTAATGCTTGCCATTGGATTTTCCGGTCGCAGAATCCACACCACTGGTTCCCGGCCGCGAGGGAGAAGGCGTGTGATCTCCAAGCCCAGTCTTTCGTAAATTGATGGGTGTTTTCTCGTCGTCGGAAAATCCATGGTGCCCATTGAGCCCGCCCGTGAAATGGTTGTCTGCCGGTGACAGAGGTATAGCCCAGGTTTTGGTCACATTTGTTCCCGACACAGCGCGTTCGAGGGCATTGTTCAGTTCCGTCGCTGTCGGCGTCTTGGGCTCCCCAAGACCATTTACGTGATCATCGGTCCTTGGTGGGCTGGGCGAGCTGGACATCGCACCATTTGTGCGCACAAACCCGTTTCTGTCGTCCTTGAGGTGCTCAGGTTCATGAGGGCTTGCGTGGTTCAGCGTGGGTTTTTCTTCTTCCGGCTCAACAAGCGTTTCGTCCTCGGCTAAGACCTGCTGACTGTCTCGCTCTTGAAATATCTCTTTTTTGATGTTGTCATCTTTGGCTGGGGGCGGGGATGATGGAGCGTTTTGGCCGTCTTCGGGATCGCTATGAAGCGTCTTCGGCACGGTCGGGGCATCTGCGCATTCTATATCGCTCTTCGACGGATCAAATAGGGCACGCTCATTGGGTGCCTGTGACTCAATCTTGGTCGAGGCATCAGTCTGTGCTAATTCGCCAGACCTAGATTGTTTTGAAGCCTGATCCTCGGCAGCACTCACCAAGGGTTCACATCTGGTGATTTTTGGTACTTTTCCATTCTCGACAACCACAATCATCCAGACACCGATTTTGCCGTCACCTCCGAGCAACGGTGTTGCAGAGATCCAGCAGACTCTGCCTTGTCCTGTATCCTGGAGTTTGCCTCCACTGCGAGTTGTTGTGCCATGTGGTTGGTTTCCCGCTTCGAGCAGTAAGTTGATCTTCGCCGAGACAGGGACACCAACGCTGAAGCTCTCTTTGAGCCCTTTCAGCGTATTTGCGGGGGCAGCAACATGTGATAGAAAGGGATGCTGGATGATGTTGCCCACACGTCGACGTAAGACCGAGGATACAAAGACAATTCGGAGCGAAGGCGCGGGTCTGACCAGGATGTAGCTGTCGTAGACGCCTGGTAGCTTTCCTGATAATCCAGATCGTCCTGATTGACCAAGCTCCCAAGCCTTGTCCACATCTTCAGCAGACTCTTCGCTGCCGCCATCAGAAGTCGCATCGGCGTCATCGAATACTCGTCGAGGAACCTTACGACTGCTTGTAACGCTACGTTCGTCATCTTCTCTCGACGTCGATGCAGATCTCCCATTTGAACGCACCACGACTGCTTCCTCTAGATCAAACATCTCGCTTAGATCGCGCAGTTTCGCCAGTGCCTTGGATTTTTGTAAACCTTGGTTGTCATTTCCAATCCCATTGTCGCGGGCTTCCCTCTCACGTCTCTCCATCTCCCGTGTGGTCAGATACCGCTTCAACCCTTCAAATCCCTTTCCCCGTTCGACTATTCCTGTGACATCAACCTGAGCTCCAATGTGATATTTGACATTACCCTTGTCGTCGTGAAGCGGGGCTATCATCAGTAGATTTATGAAAGCTCTGCCATCTCTCCGATAGTTCAGTAAAGTCTCACATATATCTTCGCCTCTCGCAATACTATCTTTAAGTCTCGCGATCGACTCTCTGTTGGTTTTCGTGCCCTGAAGGAACCGACAATTTCGCCCAATGACATCGTCACGACCATATCCAGTTTGGCGGTAAAACTCGTCACTCGCAAAAATGATTGGATTATCCTCCTGTTTCGGATCAGTGAGACAAAAGACTTCAGATAAGCCTCCTACTAAATCCCTTGTAGACGAAGTTCGACTGCCAGTAATCTCGTCTATGAGGCACTCGGTTACCAGTTTTACCAGGTTGTACGTCACGTACATTGGAAGGGCAGAGTCGACCATAAGGCGAAAGACAGCATTGCTCAATTGCTCAAAAGCCCTATCAAGGGTTGCTGCAATGGAAACCTCGCCATTCGAATCGTCTCGATCGTCAGAAGACGGAGATAGTCCCTCAGCAACAGCGTTCGCATACTCAATAGCCTTGATGGCCTTCTGCGTGTCGAGATATCGTAGAAGAACAGGATGATACTGCGGTCGATACCGTGTCAGAAAGGTAGTGAAGCGGGCGAGGTACTGTGGATCACGGAGCAGAGTGTTGAGATGGCCTGAAGAGAAGAGCGACTCCGAAAGCGTTTCGACTGAGGGCGGCCTCGGTCTGGAGGGCGGAGGCGGAGGGTGCAGGTCGAAATCCAGAACAGAGGAGGACTCGGAGTTTCGGATGACCCCAGGATCTTTCTCAGACGTGGTGCGTAGTAGAGGGGCCGGATTCGAGCCCGGTTCTTGTCCAGGGTCCTGCGGAGGGCATTCTTCGCGAGGACGTGGAACTGCGGTAGGTACTTTCACATCCACGTCAGTCGATGCGTGTGGGAGTTGTGGTCGATACACTGGGCTGTCTCGTTGTCGGAGCTTTGGTGCTCCAGCAATCTCAGGCGCTTGCTTGGGCTTGAGGACCACGGGCAACTCTGAACGAGTACTTGGCCTGGCTTTGGTGATCACTTTAGGAGGCGGCTTCACTTCACCATTGGCAATGGTCTTCTGGGTCGGCTGGCTAGGGCAAGCAGCTGTGCTTGACAGCTCGGCGGTCGGTTGCTTGCGAGGTTTCTTGGTTCGACCGGACCGAAGGCGCAGGCTTTGCTTGATTCGCTCCAGGTCCATCACGTTGGAACCGAATCAAGTCGAAGGTTGAGCCTGTCCAGCGTGCTCGACGAAAGATACACCATTGAAGTGTCTGGTAAGAAACAACAACAGAAGAGATGTACATTCCAGAAAACAATGAGTAGAGGACGGGAGGCGAAAAGCAGATGCGGTGGTCTGAGGAGTCAGTGGCCTGTGGCCTGCAGCTCCGATTCGCGAAAGGAAGCCGATGACGATGGGGACAAGTGCGAATGCCAGATGGCGATCTGGTGCAGCCCGACACGATCCAACGCATCAGCCATTGTAAGATTGCAAACGCTTCTCATGCAGGGCAGTCCTAGATTGGACCACGCTGCACCACTCTGGCGGATGCCAAAACAAGAAATGGACGGGTCATACATTGCAAAGGGATGAATGATAGACCTGCCCGTCATGACTTTTGGGGCGCAGCCAAGTATGATTGGCCAGAGCGGCCGAGGCAGAGAATAACCAACACACAACTACTCCAGCCCTACAAAATGCCTCCATGATAGTACAAAAAAACCTCCTCACTGTGGATGTATCCTCCAACCGATGGTCTATTTTGTCTTTGCAACGTCTCGTTTCCTCAACTCCCTGCCATTCGTCCGGGATGTGTCGTGGTCGTGGAAGTTCGGGCGGCCGTAGCCGGGGCTGGGCAAAAACTTTCCGACTTGTTCCTGATACACCTTATAATCAGGATACTTGCCCGAAGAGAGTAGCTCAGTGAGCCAGGTACTGGACTGGAAAAGCAGCAGGTAAGAAGCTGCTCCGATTCCACTCCAGTTGTACCAGGTTCCCGTGGCCAAGCAAGACCACAGGTACAATGTGACCCAGACGCTTTGCTCTGCCGCGAAATTGGGATGTCGTGAGTAAGCAAATAGGCCTTTGGTGAGGAAGCCTCGGTCTAGGTCTGCTCGTTCCCAACCGTGTGGTACTTTAGCTGTGTTGCGATACTCGGCCTTCGCAGCATGGTATTTCCACTGTTGCTGGTCTGCCACGTACGATATGGCTATGAAGGCCAACATGAGAGCACACGCGACACTATCCACTATATTCCAGGATTGAATTGGTCCGTCGTATGTTGCCAGGCGTTCGGTCAGCAAGAGAATGTAGGCCGGGGTGGTGATGCAGACCAAGAGGAGGGACTGCGCCAGCGAAATGAACAGAATGTTGAAGAGGAACATCAAGACAGGTCCAGCATAGTCCTTGACGGTGGCCCAGCGATAATCCTCGCTCCCAATCGAATAGCCTCCCTTCCGATAGTAGTTGTAGGTCAACCGAACCTGCCAGGATATCAGCATCACACATGAGGGTGGAGGTGGACACTTACACTCCACAAAAAGCCAACAATGCACAGGGCATCCAGTCTCGCTGTATGTAGACCGGCAAGGTGA